CCTATACTATAACACGTTTCAGAGTAGCAGCCGTGTTAGTCTGTATCTGCAAAAAGAACAGGAGTACTTGTGGCACCTTAGAGACTAACAAATTTATTAGAGCATAAGCTTTCGTGGACTACAGCCCACTTCTTCGGATGCATCCGAAGTCCACGATGCAGTAGTCCACGAAAGCTTATGCTCTAATAAATTTGTTAGTCTCTAAGGTGCCACAAGTACTCCTATACTATAACACATATCCCTGACGACATGCATTAATTCATAGGAGATGCCTGAATTTGCCCCTTATCTGAAAATGGTGTAGGTAAATACAACACTGAAGAGGACACCAAAGAAGGTCCTGGAAACAGGACCAGTAATGTAGATGGTGCCAATATTGAATGGTGAACTGCTCTTAGTACCAATTTTTGAAGGTGCATCTTCACTGATCTTGGCATTTTAAAGATGTGTTGCCACCCATTCTAGAATATAAAACATTCGTGAAGATGTTGCACGTAGTGTAGGAGGAGGTTATTTCCTAAAAACAGTAATCTGGGATGATAACATTTGAAGCAAAGTCTGATCTGGTTCAAGAGTTTGGTGCAGATTCTGTGAGGTCTCCAGTGGCTGTAATGGTTCCTAGAATAGCAACTTCTTTTTCGCAGGGAATTCCTAGATTCTTCAAGTGAAAACTATCAATGTATCAGAGGGACTGAGTAGTATAAAGGGACCCATTCCAGAGTTGTTGAGCTTAACAATAGGATAAGAAACCTTAGTATGTTTGAATGCTTCTGAAGGAAAATTTAATAGCCTCACTTTTACTTATTTAAGTTTTCAGGAAAAGAGATTTGGGAATCCAGTGCTAAAGAGAAGACAGAGGAGAAAAAAATAAAACAGAAGCCGATGAATACTATTCATTTTAGCTCTGGAGAACATTTTTGACTATATTCTGAGATAACATGTAATAACTCCAAAAACTCAAGGCCCATACAAAATTCAACTAAGGCCTTTAATAAGAGAGCAAGCAAGAGGAGAATTAGTCAGGCCTTGGCTACACTGGCGCTGTACAGCGCTGCAACTTGCTGTGCTCAGGGGTGTGAAAACACCCCCCCCCCCCGAGTGCAACGAGTGCAGCGGTGTAAAGTGCCAGTGTAATCAGAGCCTGCAGCGCTGCACGCTCGCTCACAGCACCGCAAGCTACTCCCCTCGGAGAGGTGGAGTACATACAGTGCTGTGAGAGCTCTCTCGCAGCGCTGGCGGCGCGACTACACTTGTGTTTCACAGCGCTGCCGGGGCAGCGCTGTGAATTCCCGAGTGTAGCCAAGGCCTCAGACTCATCAGGCTTTTGGAAACCAAGCGATAATAGGCAGGATGTGCTGTCATGGTTATAGTTTCTTTTCTGATTCATGAACCATTGGATGATAAAGTACCCACAGGTATTCAATAGGGTGCTAAGCATGATGTGCTGTAATGCAAAGTAGGCAATGGCCTCTGCATGGAGACTCAAGGACAAAATTCATTGAGCAAGCATTTGCTTTTATTACCAATGGAAGTACTCTTTCAGAGGTATGATCACCTTTCATGCTAGTGGCAGCTCCTTCATTCAAAATTGTGAGGAAGTTGCAGACTGCTTATGTGACTTGAGACAGGTCACTTACTTTCTGTGTCTCAGTTCCCCCTTTGTCAAAGGATATAACACATCCTTTCACCCACCTTTTGTATATCTTGTCTATTTATATTGTAACCTTTCTATGTGTTTGTAAAGATCCTAACACAATAGGGCTCTTGTCTCAACTGTGGCCTCAGGCAATACCATACCACAAATAACTACTTATAACAATGAGGATAAAGTATATCCTTTCCATGACAATCCTTTCCAAAGGTAAATTAAAATGTTTTAGAATCAATTAGGAGAAAAGTCATACTAGTTTCTGTTATTCTTGTTTTTATTACTGAACTTTCTTCTTCCTCCGTCCTACCCTAATTTTAATATGGATAACAAACAGCAGCCTTATTTCACAACTATTAAGATTGCTTTAAACTGCTCTTTTACATTCAGAATACCGACCACAACATTCATGAAAAGGGCAAAAATTTCCCTCAACCTTCATTGCAGATATTTTTAAAAACCTATCATGATCTTTACAAAGGAAAAATATGAGTGATGGGTAATTATATAAAAATTCATGAGGTTGACCATCTATTAATATGAACAGCCTGTGACACGACAAATATTTCTCTTATCACTAGAGGAAGCAAAAGCATTCTTTACCATTTACATGTCCCAAAGCTAATATAACTTACATCACAGAAAGAAAAAATAAAAAGAACAACAGATCAACTTGACTGCCTTGAAAGCTAAGCAGATCTGTCAAGTCAGTTACCATTATGAAATGTTTCCCCTTTCATTCAAGCATTACCAAGTAAAACAATTTGAACAAAAATATAATTTCAAAAGAGAAAGAACTCCGGAACCCACTGTCATCGAAAGGATTTTGCTGCTGGGGATTCTGTGACGTGATTGGCAGGTAGGGACAAGTCAAGCATGATCTTGTTCTTTCACACCATAAGAGCGTTTTGTTCTGTTAAATCTGAGTGTACAAATCAATAAATTACCCACTTTAACCCTCTCTCTCACCAACATCCATATGCATAGTATTAAACATTAACTTTACAAACCTAAGACAGGAAACAAGCTTCATACCACAACAGAAATGTTAAAGCTACCTATAAATAACTAGGTTGCACACCTAGTTTTCCTTGGAAAATAGAGAAGGTACAATAGTTTCCCTTAACTGCTTCCATTTTCTCCCCTTCTGCTGGCCGACTTTACATTTGCTTACAAGTTTCATATAATTTTGAAGCCAGCTTTTCCTCCATTCAATTTCTTTTTGTGCTTCATACTATTCCATGAATGCTGTGTCTCAGTCTCACTGTTCAGGAAGGATATATGCCATCATGTGCCAGCAATGCCCCTCTGCCATGTACATTGGCCAAACCA